CACACTCGCTAGAATAAAACTTCAGAGTTCCATAAAAGCCTCTACCAAGAGGCTGCATCTTGTGGCTACTGTGAGAAGGTAACGTCAACGCAATTATGTCGTTCTCCCGGTAAAAGTACACAGCTTTTATTGTACTATGTTACACGTGATTGTATAAAATAAGTAGAATAAGCTGTTCTCTACTTGGCTTCACGTGGTCTTTGAAGTGAGTTAGCCAATAGACATAAAGATGTGCGTTTATAAAACTGGAATCCGAAACCATGCCAACAGATTCAGGTGATACAGTATTTAATAGTTCGGCTTTCATCCTCTTCCTTCCAAATATCTTTTCATTCCGCCTGCGTTTATATTTGGAAAGGAAGACTTCCATATAGCATAGGCTACTTCTTGATAGGTTTCTTCTTACTCATACTTATTACTTTAATTTTCTGATCGAGATCGTTGTTACTACTGTACTGTTTACTTCTTCTAAATGACATAGATCGTCCCTACTTTTGAACTAGGTCGTTACTATTTCTGAAAGATCTTGATCATGAAGTGACTGAAGTGTTTAATAATAATAATAAAGAGAAAATATCTCGACTTGGCTCACGAGGTGACCGAAATGTGGGGGGTGACATCCACCGAAATCATTCCAATCGTTATGTCAGTGAACGGTCTTATCCCAACCAGTCTGGAACAATATCTCAGACAGTTTGGATTCCGAGGCGGCTCACTCCCGGGAAAGATGCAGAAAGCGGTGCTCTTAGATTCTGCCCGCATTGTACGCCGGTTTCTCTCCCTGGGGCCCTGAACCCCGGCCGACTGTGCTTTTGCCGGGGGTTAGTTTGCCATCTCCTCTCCTTAAGAGGGGAGATGTGAAGTTTCTAAAAATTTAAAAAATAATAATAAATTTATTTGCAGTTTCTTCTGTTTACTATTCTGTTGTTGTTTAAAAGAAGGTTAGCAACTGCTAAGTTTAAACTTCTGACTAAATTGTCCCGACTTAACTTTGTTTAATGGGTGATAATGAAATGGTAAACTCACCTGCGCTGACGGGGCACCAGTGAGTTATGATAGATGAGGATGAAAGCAGCTCAGTTAGCCAATCGAGACGAATTCCACTTGAATTAATCACAATAGTTTCCGGGGGGAACCACGTGGAGGTCGACCTGATAGGGTATTGCTAGCAATGAATAAATTAGACCACTTTATTAACAATCCCTCCCCCCTGCATACCCGTTGCACTCTCACATCCCCTTTCGGGCAAATCCAACCGTGCTAAGCGCCTTTGGATTGGCTTCCAAGCGCTCTATAGCCTCGATATACCCAGGCTCCCTCTTTCTCAGAAGTGACAAGTCTGTGCGCGCACAGCTCTCGCTCGGAGGTCTGCGGCCACGTAATAGCCACACCCTGTCTCTTCATCCGAGCAGAAGCTCTTAACGAACCACCGACTACATCAACTCCGTCCTTCTCGGACACCACATCTCCGTCTTTCACGGACACTACGTCTTTAATGTTTTTTAGTTTGTTTTTATAAGATTCCATGTAGTTCCCACGAGTATGAGGGATTGGTTTCGTGCATGGGGTAGCCCCTTGCTTCCATTCACGGCTTACTACGCTTTGGGTGTGGCAGGTGCCTAAATGTTGGTGTCCTTTAAGAAATAAATGTACTGTCACAGACAATTAGAGTAGATGTTGCATTGATGAAGTTGCATGCGGACATATAGGACACTTAGAAAAACGTCACTTAAACTGTTCATTATTTCTAAAACACTATATCGCTCATTGTCTATGCGAATTACACTATGTTTACGAAACAATACTACGAGTAATTAACAATTAAAAATAAATCCAATGGACCTATCCTATTTCACACCAACAAGTTATACTGTGATCAAAAAAGTAAGGTGAATTTGTTTATAAAATGTAAATTCTTTATATATTCTTCCAAATCAATCTCATCCCCTTCAAATTAATCTCCATATAATAAAACGCACTTTTGCCAACGCTTTTTCCAATCTTGAAACAGTCGGAATAGTCTTTTTCCGGTACAGCCTCCATGACCTTCTTCAATTCGGTTTTTGTCTTCTCACGACTTAAAACGGCGTCTCCGTATTCGCCTTTTGAGTGTGATAAATTGCCAGAAATCGCAAGGAGCCAAGTCAGGCGAGTATGGTGATTGCGGTACGATATGAGTCGAGTTTTTGGTAAGTCGCGAAGAATCGCAAAAAAAATTGAGTCATATTGGCACTAATCGAGACGAGGCGTTTGAGACACAAAACATTGTTCAAAATGGTTTGGGCTGAGCCAAATGATATTTCAACACTATCAGCGAGGTCTCTAATTATTAATCGACGATTTCCAAGCACCAATCTTTGATTTTTTGGACGTGACCTTTATCGGTAGAGTTTGATGGTCGTCCATAGCGCGGTTCGTCATCAACGCGTTCTCGGCCCGCTTTGAACTCGTTGTACCGCTTATAAACTTTTTTTAGACCATGAATTGATCACCAAAGGCCTTCTGCAACATTTTCAATGTGCCTGCACAAGAATATTCGTTCCGCAAACAAAGTTTGATGCAACTTCTTTGCTCAACAAAATCAATCATTGTAATAGACGAATTATTCACTTTGGTTGTTTACAAAAACAACTGTAATTTGGAGATAATTAAACCTTTTTACAAACAGACGTTTGGCAAATGCTATAAACCTACCAACCTAGAAAAATAATACCTGCCTCCTCGATGCCCGGGAGTTTTAAATGACAATTTCATCTTACTTTTTAATCACAGTATTATTGTACATTAAGATCACGCATGATCTGTCCGTGACAGTTGTTTTATTTATAAAAATAACAAAACTGCATCAAAATATCATGTTTCATTTTATTTTAAGCTAAATTTGGAAAGGAAATATTAATTATATAAAAAGTTATCGCTGTATGTATCAGTGCCTGTTCTACAAGTAACTTTTTGTTGGTACGGGTTTTCGCCACAGGTAGCCGCTCTAAGGGGACGTGGGAGCAGTCTGGGGTATATGCCCCCCTCTGCTGGTGTTGGGGTGGATCTTGCCAGTGGCTTCTCAAAAATCCGATCGGCGCAGTCTTTGCCTGCCGAACTGACACCCCATGGGGAGAGGCGCGGTAAACTGTCAGCGTAAGAACGTAATGACGGCGTTGTGCCCTTACTAGGGGACCTTTTGTTATCGCCGACAGTTTGTTATACACTATATCCAGAAAGAGAGGGACTTTCTTTCATTTGTGCTTCGGACCGTTGGAGGATTTCTCGGTGAACTCATGTAAATCATAAAAGGCTTCTTTTATTTATAAAAAAAAAGTTAATTATCGACATCTTATAATATTTTATAACAAATATATTATAACTGGCTTTCTTAGAAAGATGTTTTTAATTCTAATAGCTCTCTCTTCAATATAACAATTTTCAATTTTTCTTTTCTGATTTTCATATTAATCAAGTGTTCTTCTTCTACCATCTCCATACATCTCCTATGCTCTTCATCTTTTAATATTTTAGAGTGACTCATTACATTAGTCATGTAGTCATGCTTGTATTGTATATAATACCAATTAATTAAATAAAAAATTAAAGTTCTATAAAGTTTAATTAATATAAGTCTTTAGAAATTAAAAAAAAAATATCAGTTTAATTAAATATTTGAAAGCAATTTTCAACACACGTAGGTATCCTATAGATTACTTTATAAGTACTAGCCAATTCCCGTGGCGTTGCCGATGTGAATGCAGATAACAATTATCGCATGTCTGCGTTCTTATCGCTCATTAATTGTTTTAGGTCTTCAGGGAGTTTCTAACGACGATCGTCCGTCGCGGGTACCTCCTTGGAGTAGTTCTTGACTGCCGACCACAGGTGGTCAATAGGTGACAATAACAGTGTTCTCGGTGGACTCCATAGTATCTGGGACTCGGTTCCGGTACTGAGCCTCTTTCAAGCTTATTTCCTCACTTTTTTCCAACTTGCCATCGCTTCTTGAGTTTCGCTTACTGTTAAGTATGCATTAATAACGTGTTTGGATGCTGTGTATAATATGCAATTTGTTATGTCACGACGTTCTGACGGACTCATAAAAGCTGACGCCAGGGCTTAATATGTTTACCGTCTAGTTATTAAGAGACATAACTATATATCTATATAGTTTAGCTGCCACATTAAGCTTGAACAATGCATAATTCTCGCGAAGTTTTAATGCCTCAACAGTACAATAGAGTCACCATTGCAATTATTACATGTGGTACATACTTGATATCTAAAAAAGGAAGTAAAAGAGGAAACAATAACCCCTATAAACAATTTTTTATGTATATTACAAAAATAATTATTAAAGCTTTCACCCGTGACTTTATCTCCGCAACCAGGACATATTCATTGATCAGGATAAAAGGTAGTTTAGGCCCTTCTCCGTTTTCTATAGTAATATAATAATATTTTCTTTATTTACGGATTACTAAGATCCATCCAATTATAGTGGGTGTTTACCAAATTTCATAGCGGACTACGGAGAACGTAAGTAAAGTTGGGTACAAAAAGGCAAGAACGAATAATGTTATACGCGTTGTAAGTGTTGATATTTAGGAGGCGGTCGGAGTTCGAACAGAAGTTAATAATTTTGTCTTCGACAAAGCTGGGGAAAAGATGTTACACGGACGCGTGTATTGCGACGACTGAGAAAAACTGCAAACACAGAATAATATGTACGGGCGGTTAAGTCGGGTACACACAAGACTTGTCAGTCATAACGTGAAATAGACAACAAAAGCAGGAACTGACCTGTTTGTGCGGCTCCATCTTTTCTCGCCACATTTTCGAGCTCTCCCACTGTGTCAATAGTACTGCTATTGTATTGTACTGATCAAAAATGATCTTACACTACGCCAATTTTTTACTGCCTGTTTTTTTATTCTCAATTATATTATAGTGGGCATGCACTAGGTTTAATAGAAGTTCCTTTTCTGGTTGTAGCCAAGTCAGACTATGTTCTTATTAATATAACATAATAATTAATTTGAATAATGCAATGTTTCTGTTTAGTTTTAGGGTTATACTTGTTATTTTCTTAGATCCATTTTATTAATACGTTGAAAGCATACTGAGATATCATCCACGTATAAAATTTACTTTTGATCTATAATTTTAGCGATATCATTAATACATATTAGCAATAAATAATGTCTATTAACCCTTATTATTTGTTGGTAACGCTTCAGGGAAATTCTGAATTTCCATAACGGTTATTGACTCTTGGTTTTTATTGATCATCTTGAATAGCTGAAAATATTGAATCGTTGATGTTAGGCTTACAATCTGTTGGTGTAAAGAACCTGTGTTAGGCAAAAGGTTAAGACTCCGTGGTTACGTTCCACCCACACCTTAAGGACTGGGTGAACCGCTTGCACTATCCGGTTCATTAATCTCCCATTCCTGGTCGTGAACTCCAACAAGAGCGGACATCCCTAGACTTCCACAGGCCTCTACCTGACCTGTAGTGCTATTCTCTAAGCAAACAGCCTAGACATCAGCCTTGACGCAGCGATGAAATATTGAAATGGTATTCACTAATTCTTAAGACGCGACACTAGCGCCCAAAGACGAGCTCAAAGACGAGCGGCATAAACGGGAACTACTCAAGGCTGTGCGATTTGACATTTTGCCATAGTATTTGGTATTCACTAACAAAAATCAGCCTCGCCTTCGCCGACAGCCTAGCCTACAGCCTCGATTTCTTATGTCAAACTCAAAAGCTTTGTTTTCTACGCTGTTTGCATAGTATTCATCTAATATATTTATTTGTTTCTTGAATTCTGTGATTATTAATTGTATTGAAATTATCAATTTGTGTTTAAAAACGATTGCTGCCCGTTTATGTGTATTGACCCATTTGTTGAAAGAAGCTAAAATAGAAAATGATTGTAAGAAATGCCGACAATCAACAACTTTATGTGATGTGGATTATATTCATCATTACCGACTTTCTGAAGAATTAATCAATATGTTAGAAAAAGAATTGTCACCATGTATGCCTGTTCCAGAGAGTTGTTAAAGCTAAAGGTTTGTAACTTAAATTTTATTAATTGATGGTATTAGGTACATAAATAAATTTAAAGCAGGAAAAAGAATACTTTGCAGTGATTGTGTGCACTTGTTTATTTTATTGAGACAAGCTTAATTGTGTCAGCAGATGTTTGTGTAGGGAACAACTAGCTAGTTAATAATGGTGTGTAACAAGTATTCTAGTATGCATAATAATACTTCTGGTGTTACAAATATTCATGGATCATGGTAACCGTTTCCCATTAGGTGATCCATAAGCTTAGTGGCCTCTGGTTTTGTATAAAAATAACTATGTCTAATATGTTAGAAAGAAACCAACTTAGTTAAACATGTAGTAAATTATTAATTCATGTCAATTAATTTTTGTTAAATTAGACCACTAAATTTAGCATTCAGGTTGAAACTATTATAAAAAACTGTTTCAAAATCATAGTTTTAAAAAACATGACACACATAAATTCAGGATTGGCTATGTGGCTAATTAAAAATAATTAACATTACTTGTTTTTTTTCAGGTGATTTTGAAACTCATTTAGTAGCATGACACAAACCCTTGGACAGCCACAATAATAGTAGTGTATTGCTGTATTGTTTGTGATATGCTGATAATATGATGCAGTTACATCATCTATACAAAATGAAGAAGCACAAAAGAAAATTTTGTAGTCTGAAAATAAGCTAGCTATACTTTTTGTACTTATATCTTAAAACTATTTTCAAATACTTTTTTATTGTTACATTTTTGTCTACCTGTGAATTAAAATTAATATTATATTATGTTGTAAATGTATATTTTAATTTAAAATTATTATAATTAATTCATATTATAACTAGTATGGAGTAAGAAATTAAAAAAAATATTCATTAAAAATTATTTATTTGAAATTGAAACAAGTTTATAATTATAAAATTTTATTGTAATTGTGTTTTTATTTGAAAATTATATAAGATGAAACTTATATTTCAAAATTACTAATGACTATTAAATGACATAATTTAATCTTATATTTTCAATAATGAACTTGATTTAACTAATAATTCCAATAACTCTTGTTATGTTTGGCAGTGTATATTTTTAGAAATGTATTATTGTAAAATCTATTAGTATTTTAAAAACCAAAATTGAGGTTTCTCCCCTTCTTCACAATGGATGGTAGAATCATAAAGAATTACCATTTATAATATTTTAAATTTAATTGAATAAAAATTATTTGACATTTTTTTAAATTTTTTTTAATTAAATCGTACAATGGCTGACTTTAATTTAGTCATATCTCATTCATTAGCTATAAGATATGAACTAGTGTTGTCTGATTCTCTATCAAAATTTGTTCTGTCTCTACTCGGTGCTCTTCAGTGGCAACAAATCTTTGTGAGACTACTCTCTTTCTAGTTGAGGCTGCTATTGTGAAGGAGATAAGTGTCTTCGGGATACTGTCAGTCAAATGACGGCGTGGACCTAAAAATAACAATAAGACCAATTAGACACATAATTCTAAAATTATAAATTAGTTATTTATTTAAGATACTCCACAAAAATATAATTAATCCTTTTTTCTGTTCGTGCATGTCCTGTCACAAGCCATGTCTGATTCTTTATATAATCCATCAGCATCTCCGACTACTTTGCGAAGGGACCTCATTTCATGGCATGTTACGAGATATGCATTTATTTTAGTTACTAAAAATATAACCTTAAAAACAATAAAGTAAATAAAAAGCACATTTTACTTACGTATTTGATAGATACATCCAAACTTATAAAACGTTGGTAAAGTTACGTTAATTTTATTAATTATTTTTAAAAGAGAATAAACAAATACAAAAAGTGCGCCTCTGGAATGTTAAGTACAAGGAATATAATACTCTCTACGTACCTACGTATAAGTGTTATTTGTTTATTTTACGGCAATGGAAGCAAGGGTATTCAAACAAATCTTAACTTTAAAAAACAAAATCAAATGTTTGATGTATAAATTTATGTTTATTTTATATAATATTTATTTAAATAACATTCTAAACTGAATAAAACATTCCATTTGTCAATAAAATATTATATTTCTACAGTTATCGGTTTCATTTTACGGTTTTTGTTGCAAGCCCTATCTCGTCCGTGCGCACAGCCTCGAGTTATCACAGCCTACAGTTCGTCGATGAGGTTTGACACGTTAGTGAATACCAATTACCGCAGCGCTGTAGCCACGGTCGTTCGCAAGGCTGATCAGCCTAGAGCTCGTCGGCGGGCGCAGCGTTGCGGTAGATTTTTAGTGAATAGCATTGCTGATCTACGCCGTCGAGCAACGTCTTTAGCTGTAGGCTATTGCGCCTGCGTCCGGGCATGCGTTCGATGCTAGTAGACTGAGGCCAGAACTTTTGCCTCCAGCAATGCTATTCACTAAAAATCTACCGCAACGCTGCGCCCGCCGACGAGCTCTAGGCTGATCAGCCTTGCGAACGACCGTGGCTACAGCGCTGCGGTAATTGGTATTCACTAACGTGTCAAACCTCATCGACGAACTGTAGGCTGTGATAACTCGAGGCTGTGCGCACGGACGAGATAGGGCTTGCAACAAAAACCGTAAAATGAAACCGATAACTGTAGAAATATAATATTTTATTGACAAATGGAATGTTTTATTCAGTTTAGAATGTTATTTAAATAAATATTATATAAAATAAACATAAATTTATACATCAAACATTTGATTTTGTTTTTTAAAGTTAAGATTTGTTTGAATACCCTTGCTTCCATTGCCGTAAAATAAACAAATAACACTTATACGTAGGTACGTAGAGAGTATTATATTCCTTGTACTTAACATTCCAGAGGCGCACTTTTTGTATTTGTTTATTCTCTTTTAAAAATAATTAATAAAATTAACGTAACTTTACCAACTTTTTATAAGTTTGGATGTATCTATCAAATACGTAAGTAAAATGTGCTTTTTATTTACTTGTATTGTTTTTAAGGTTATATTTTTAGTAACTAAAATAAATGCATATCTCGTAATATGCCATGAAATGAGGTCCCTTCGCAAAGTAGTCGGAGATGCTGATGGATTATATAAAGAATCAGACATGGCTTGTGACAGGACATACACGAACAGAAAAAAGGATTAATTATATTTTTGTGGAGTATCTTAAATAAATAACTAATTTATAATTTTAGAATTATGTGTCTAATTGGTCTTATTGTTATTTTTAGGTCCACGCCGTCATTTGACTGACAGTATCCCGATGACACTTATCTCCTTCACAATAGCAGCCTCAACTAGAAAGAGAGTAGTCTCACAAAGATTTGTTGCCACTGAAGAGCACCGAGTAGAGACAGAACAAATTTTGATAGAGAATCAGACAACACTAGTTCATATCTTATAGCTAATGAATGAGATATGACTAAATTAAAGTCAGCCATTGTACGATTTAATTAAAAATTTTTTAAAAAAATGTCAAATAATTTTTATTCAATTAAATTTAAAATATTATAAATGGTAATTCTTTATGATTCTACCATCCATTGTGAAGAAGGGGAGAAACCTCAATTTTGGTTTTTAAAATACTAATAGATTTTACAATAATACATTTCTAAAAATATACACTGCCAAACATAACAAGAGTTATTGGAATTATTAGTTAAATCAAGTTCATTATTGAAAATATAAGATTAAATTATGTCATTTAATAGTCATTAGTAATTTTGAAATATAAGTTTCATCTTATATAATTTTCAAATAAAAACACAATTACAATAAAATTTTATAATTATAAACTTGTTTCAATTTCAAATAAATAATTTGTAATGAATATTTTTTTTAATTTCTTACTCCATACTAGTTATAATATGAATTAATTATAATAATTTTAAATTAAAATATACATTTACAACATAATATAATATTAATTTTAATTCACAGGTAGACAAAAATGTAACAATAAAAAAGTATTTGAAAATAGTTTTAAGATATAAGTACAAAAAGTATAGCTAGCTTATTTTCAGACTACAAAATTTTCTTTTGTGCTTCTTCATTTTGTATAGATGATGTAACTGCATCATATTATCAGCATATCACAAACAATACAGCAATACACTACTATTATTGTGGCTGTCCAAGGGTTTGTGTCATGCTACTAAATGAGTTTCAAAATCACCTGAAAAAAACAAGTAATGTTAATTATTTTTAATTAGCCACATAGCCAATCCTGAATTTATGTGTGTCATGTTTTTTAAAACTATGATTTTGAAACAATTTTTTATAATAGTTTCAACCTGAATGCTAAATTTAGTGGTCTAATTTAACAAAAATTAATTGACATGAATTAATAATTTACTACATGTTTAACTAAGTTGGTTTCTTTCTAACATATTAGACATAGTTATTTTTATACAAAACCAGAGGCCACTAAGCTTATGGATCACCTAATGGGAAACGGTTACCATGATCCATGAATATTTGTAACACCAGAAGTATTATTATGCATACTAGAATACTTGTTACACACCATTATTAACTAGCTAGTTGTTCCCTACACAAACATCTGCTGACACAATTAAGCTTGTCTCAATAAAATAAACAAGTGCACACAATCACTGCAAAGTATTCTTTTTCCTGCTTTAAATTTATTTATGTACCTAATACCATCAATTAATAAAATTTAAGTTACAAACCTTTAGCTTTAACAACTCTCTGGAACAGGCATACATGGTGACAATTCTTTTTCTAACATATTGATTAATTCTTCAGAAAGTCGGTAATGATGAATATAATCCACATCACATAAAGTTGTTGATTGTCGGCATTTCTTACAATCATTTTCTATTTTAGCTTCTTTCAACAAATGGGTCATTACACATAAACGGGCAGCAATCGTTTTTAAACACAAATTGATAATTTCAATACAATTAATAATCACAGAATTCAAGAAACAAATAAATATATTAGATGAATACTATGCAAACAGCGTAGAAAACAAAGCTTTTGAGTTTGACATAAGAAATCGAGGCTGTAGGCTAGGCTGTCGGCGAAGGCGAGGCTGATTTTTGTTAGTGAATACCAAATACTATGGCAAAATGTCAAATCGCACAGCCTTGAGTAGTTCCCGTTTATGCCGCTCGTCTTTGAGCTCGTCTTTGGGCGCTAGTGTCGCGTCTTAAGAATTAGTGAATACCATTTCAATATTTCATCGCTGCGTCAAGGCTGATGTCTAGGCTGTTTGCTTAGAGAATAGCACTACAGGTCCCATGATAGAAAAGGCCAAGAGGCATACTGCTTCTCAGTAAATAATGCAGTAGCCCCAACACACCTTCATGCCTATGGTCCTTTGTGCTCTGAGCATTATTGCTTTTTCTTCATCTTTTACGGACCCATACCATATAGGGGCCCTGTGTACGACCATCATAATTTTGTTCACTTGTACTAGTCATATATTTTTTCTAGTTCTGCTTCTTCGGTAATTTGTACCTTTATAGGTTAGGTATATCGTTACGGCGGTCTCGCTCGCGACCTCGACACGCGTGCTTACGGGACGGTGGTTAGTGCCGACTACTCGCGTCTGCCCCTGCGCTCGGAGCGTCGAGGTGCGGGCGGAGAAGTATGCGGGGAGCGATAGGCACCTACCGTTGTCTTACCATGCGCGCCGGCTATACCTTTAAATTATCTGGGTCTAGTGGATCATCTCTGGATTCTTTGGCAATTCAAAAAAGTTCGAAAGATTGAGGCAAGCTTTATAATAACATTATACTGAGTAGATCCTTCTTAATATTTATATACATTTGCCTAATTTGGCAACAATATCCATGAATGAGTCCGTGTGGTGCAGGCATAGAATAGGTAATCCCTTCTTTTCCCGTGGGTGTCGTAAGAGGCGACTAAGGGAGGGCAAAGGATGGGCAGCAGCGTCCCTATTAAAACATCTCTAAAGCTTAACTGCGTTTGCCAATCCGCCTGCCAAGCGTGCCCACCAATTCGAATATTGCGAATTTAATATATTTTTTTTATTATTACAAATAATAAATATATTTCTGTAGTTGCTTATGTGTGCTTTATCAAGTCCGTTTATTTTATGATTTTTAAAAAGATATTGTTACTAACAAGATTAACAAATATATTGCAATGGAGAATTTAATATTGTTATACTATTAAAGGTTTAAAATTCTCATAATTTTTAAAGCTAAATCTAAAATAATTATCTTACCTTTACATTCATTGTAAAAGCGTAGGAAATTATTCTCCACTAGCCCGCCATCTAGCTTCTCCTACCTTAATTACACCTGTTCCTATTTTATAAAGAAAAAAATTTGCTCGCCAGATTTACAATAACATTTTAAAAAGGTTATAAGTAAAAACATAGAAATTTACATAAATGAACCAGCTGAGACATTAAATTACATTGTTGTTCATTTAAACTTGGTTCTTTCTTTGTTTAAATGTTTGAAATTCAAAGGAGTAACTTTCAGAATAAAAAGTTACGTAAATACAGTACGTTATTTGTTATGTATTAGATTACATAAATATTTTTAATAAATGACAATGAAATGTAGACCCCGCCCGTGCTAACGGTATACACTGGCGGGGCATCAGTGAGAGTTGATGAGGATGAAGAGACAGGCCAGTTAGCTCATCGTGATGAAGAAGCCTAGAATTCAACACGATGGTTTCCAGGCAGGACTACGTGGAGGTCGACTTGGATGGGTATATTTCTAGCAATTGGGGCCTTGGAGTTTCTTGAGTAAATCTATTAAAATTATGCCAAGCTAGGGGGAGGGGGGGCACTTTGATACACAAAAATTAAATCTCTTTTCTGAGGACCATAAAGCATTATATTTAAATATTTGTTTTGATGTGTGCATTGGCTGATATGTCAGCTTACATTTTGGCTACGCAAAAACCGCAAAAATTGGCGACGTATAGAGATAATGTGATTTTAAGAAAATAAAATGTTTGTATCATTCTGCCCCACCAGTGGGGCACTTTGATACATGGGGTGGGGCAGTTTGATACGTATTTTAGATCCATATGAAATGCAAATTTAAACTGACTAAAAACCCAATATAAACTGTATTATTACTTAAAATTAAGAAATAAAACAATTTTATTGATTGAGATCGCAAAATACTTTTTATTAAGAGTGCACATTAGCCATAATCAGTCTCTTAAGTTACTTAAGAAATATAATCACAAAAAAAAACAATATTGTCATCATAGAACAAGACTAATTCTCTGTTATTTTCTTAATTATATAATCAGTTATATACTTACTAAGTAATCAGACTTTAACATTGAATATTGTTAATGAAAATATAATATTAGAACCTCCTATCAAAATAAACAATAGTTTTCTTAAAAAATTAAACAAACATCAAAAATTTAACAAAAATAATCATAAAAACTCTCATATAAATTACAAAACAATCTACTGGATATTATATCGAGTTAAACCTACCGAAAATGAATAAAGCGACGATGTTCGAGATGTGCCTTTGGAGAAAGTTGGTTTTGGTAATTGCAAAACTACATCTCTAACATCCACACTTGCTTTGTCTTCCACAATTGGAAATATGAACTTATAAGACCCTGTTTTTTTTCTGAGATATGATACTTCATATTCTGTCACATTATACTTAAATACGACTTTGGCAACGTAGTGAATCACAGTTTTCTTCTTCTCAAACTTAATTAGTAGGAAATCTCCAATATTTATGTGTTCAGGATTAACTGGTTCTTCATTAATTACCTCTTCTTCTGATTCCGATGGCATTTCAATCTCTTCACTATCACTCGTCATCACGACTTCATCTAGACTAGAATCGGAATCTATTTCTGCAGGCAAAGAAGTTACTCTCTTTTTCTTTTTTGGCTCAGTTAACCCCAGCAGATTTTTCGCTGTTTTCAATTCTTTTGCATGCTGTTTTGCTTTTTGTAATTCTCTTTTCCTGTCCTTTTCATTACGTAAGCTTTCTAATCTATTTTTTTCTGGTGTGTCAGTGTATATTCTTGATATGTCCCTTTTCTCTTCCTTTTCTTTTTAAGACACTGTCAGTAATCGCCTTTTTTGGATAAGGTCTAACTACGTCAGGAGTAAGCATAGCCTGTGATGAAGAAACATGTAGAGAATCGTCAGCATCAGACACTGAAATTGGGTCGGTATCCAAAGTAGGAGTTTTATTTTGTTCTCTATCAACAACTTCATTATTTTGACTTGTTTCCGAGTCTACAAAATGTAAATCTTGTGTTTTGTGAGTGTTCTCATCTGTCAAATCGTGATAACCTGTGCTGAAAATGTCTATCGGTGCAAAGTCGTCGTCGCCAAATATCAGTTTATTAATTGGCCAAATTCCAGGTTTGGAAAAACCACCTATGATATTCTTTGGTGTAAATGATTCCAAATATGCTAATTTTGACAGTTCAGCAATGTTGTATATGGTCAGTCTTTCCAACATTTTGAATGTGCCAGTCGTTGAAAGCTATCTTCAATTTGCCTTTGAAGTTGCAATTTGTGTAACGTGTGTGGGGGCAGACTCAAATAAACAATACCGTTGTCACGACAGTAGTTAACAGCTTCTCTTGAAATGTGCGATTCGTGGTTGTCACAAATGATTAGAATTGGGTTATCTTTATTGCTCGAAGTAAGGCGTTGAATGTGTTTCAAAACTCTTATAAACAATTCTGATGTCATCCAGCCGCTTCTGTTTGCCAACCCTAGACTTCCATCAGGAGCTCCATTTAGGAAGTGATCTTTGTAGTGAACTCTTGGAAAGACATAAACTGGAGGAAGAAAAGAACCAGTAGCAGTAATAATACCACAGAAAGTAACTAACTCTCCGCGTTCTGCAGAAACTATTTGTCCCACCTGTCTTTGTATTCTCCCAGCAATAACTTTAGGAGTAGAAAGAACTGTGCTTATGCCTGTTTCGTCTAAGTTTATTATTCGATCGGGTGTAAAATTGTACTGTCTCATTATGCGTTCGTAATTATCATGAAATTGAGCTACAGCAGCTTTATTAAAAGCAAAGCTTCTTGCTGCGCTTGTGTTTTCTGGTTTTCGTAGACTCAATTCTGGGTTTCTCTTCCTGAAGCCAATCTTTTCCAGCGCATTTGTTTTTTTTTCCAGGGTTTTGGATAATTACACCCTGAGGATTCTGCGAACTCGTATGCCAAAGTCAAAAGCTGTCTCAATGTAAGGCCGTAGTGCATTTTACTGCAATTCAATAAATATTGAGTCAATGCCTTTTCTTGTTCGATTGAAAAAACTTGTGCAACGGTATACTTGGAACCATAGATGTTTGATGAAGTAGCTGTAGCAGTGTGTGATGATAAAGCTGCAGTAGTAGTGTGTGCTGAAGATGACGCTATTTGTGCCATCTCCATAGATGGTGCTATTTGTGGTGAAGATGGACCTGCTTGTGATAAAGAAGATTCTGCTTGTAATGAAGAGGATGCTTCATTTGTAGATAATATTCTGGTAGCTTCAAATGATTTTCTGGCTTTTTCTATGCGATGTTGTAGGGTCGCAGTTTTGATGCTATATTTGTCGGCTGCTTTGCGTATAGATAAAGTCTTTGACAATGCTTCACGTATTGCGTCTTCAATGTTTTCTTCATTGATATTTTTTCTATCAGTTTTGTGTTTGTACGTGCGCACCGTTTTCTGAAAAAAAGAAAATAAACAATAAAATAAACTATTATTTTTGACGGGGCACTTTAATACACTAGAGGAGCAGATTGATACGTATCATTGTACCCCGCACATTACCGTATCAAAGTGCCCCAACGGACTTTTTCCACAAACAATTAATTTTATCTAATATATAATAATAATGCAATCAAAAACATTTTAAAATACAATAATAACTATAGTTACTTACCTGTAGTAACAAATAATAACAAAAACAACTAAAAGAATCCTCCTGAGACACAATTACATTTCACGTTTTTTTTTGTAGGCAGCGGCGCACGCCACTTTCAACACGTTAATGACCGTTGAGGTCCAATGGCAAACTGGCGGCGAACGGTGTCACAACTGTCATTCTTGTGAATGCCCTTGAGCATTCTAGTGATGTGCCGGACTGTGTAGCGTTTATCGGTTTTGAGATATAGATACTGTACCAATGTGCCCCGTGAATCAATGTGCCCCCTCTCCCCCTATATGCCAAATATAGGCGGTAAGCTTTTACTCGTGACTATCTCCGCAACCAGGACATGTTCACTGATCAGAATCAAAAGGTAGTTTAGGCCCTTCTCCGTTTTCTATAGTGCGTGTTTACCAAATTTCATAGTGCACTACGGAGAACGTAAGTAAAGTTTGGTACAAAAAGGCTAATATGAATAATAGTTTTGCAGTGAAACGCTCAGCAATCAAATTAGAAGAATTTATTAATATTACAAGAATCGACAACGAATCACACATGGCTACCTAAGACTTCAACTCATTGACACACGCGACAATGTTGCCAACAGATAAAAACAAAGTTACCATTCTACAAATAATGTTATGCACAGATTACACTGTCTATATCTAATAAAGGCAGTATCGAATAATGTTATACGCGATGCGAGTGTTGATATTTAGGAGGCGGTCGGAGTTTGAACAGAAGTTAATAATTTTGTCTTCGACAAAGCTGGGGAAAGATTCATAAAAAAATAGGTGAACCGACGAGGTGAAGTGAACTTTTGTTTAAAAAAGTGAATTAAACTACTAATATTATAAACTATCATAACATCAACCATTATCTGTCCATGCACTGCAAACATAGGCCTCCAACATAGACTGCCATAAGGAATGATTTTAGACCATCAGTATCGGTATGTATTTACAAGTAGTACTCAATCTTTATGGTTCTAGGATTGCAGCTTCAGTTTAGGTGACAATCTGTGGGTCTTGTATTACTCTGTTTTTTTTTTGTTTTTATATATGGTGCCTACCGCAGTAAGTGGGCCGTCGACTAAACTTATATCTAGTCGGGGTAGGGTAACTAAATTAACACGGTCCCCGGATATTAACTTCCAGTCTTGCTACTTTTATTTATTTCCTAATAGTTATATTTTTCTTATATCTAATATTTTTATTAAAAGCAGTATCAACTAAAAATATTTAAACTAACACTACACTATTACAGGGAAAAAACTATATTTAAATAGGATTGAGATTTTTAATGACTATTTTTTATTTATTTCCTATTACAATATTTAAATTGTATAATCAATATACATTTTCATATAGTTTTACCTGTTACTATGTCTAATTACTATAGTTTTTATTATCTTACTGCTATACTCTACGAATTTTCTGCTCATTTCTTTGTTTTCTTCGCTCTTATCGCCAATATCATGCTCCAGGTCGTTGCGTTGTCGCCTGAAGCGGGGACAATGGGACGGGATGTGTGTGATCGTCTCAGGCTGTGACTGCTCACAAGGACACGACGGGTCCTCCCGATACCGAAAATGGTGTAGATATGTGGCGAACCCGCCATGTCCCGTGAACAGTTGTGTTGTGTTTGGGCAATCTTACCGACAATCCTATACGCAGCAACAGTGCTCGGGAAGAAAAGCTTGGTAACTGAAGCCGTCTCGCTAGACCGATATCGCCCGTCCCACTCGGCAAGCGTCCGATCGCGGATCAGACGCTTGACGAATGAGACAGGACACCCGTCATAGTCCGACCTCCTTTTTGAGTTCATCGCTGCCTCCTTAGCCAGATGGTCGGCTCTTTCGTTTTCCTCCCACCCTGCGTGTGCTTTAATCCAGTACAGGTCGACTGTTTCTCCAGTTGGTGAAGACAGCGCCTGTACGAGTCTCTGAAGGAGACTGCTAGTGGGTGGGGGATCGACGGGTTTATTACCGTCTGGAGGGCAGCCATGGAGTCGCTCGAGGATGTTGAACGTAGTCGCAGGATTACTCTCAGTTTGTCACCGAACACTATTACTGCATTTGCTGCCATCTGAGTGTAGATCTTGAAAGGAGCTGATCTCGGGATTTTTACCAGGTTTGGTGGCTTAAGGCCATTGCTAACTTGTCTAAGGCTAACGACGCCGGCCGGATCCATTTTGTCGCTCTTCAGTGACCTAAGGTTGTCTGACCTTTCTCTGTCTGAAGGTTGTCTGATACATTCTCCAACGTTTCGCATATTGGCCTGATCTAATCCGTGAGCTCCAAATTTACTGATGTTGGCAGGATGGGGTGGGGGGGGGCACTCTTTTTTCACTTGTATGGTCTGCAAGTTTTTTTGTAGACCGATGAATGCCCCTCCATTCCGTCCAGTTTGTGGTCTATTTTTACGTTGTGTGATTGGTGTATTTGCACCACTGTTTCCAATAGCTTAGAGAAGAGGCTTTCAAAATATTGTGAAGAGTCCCACTGGTCATCGTCATGAGGATGGTTACTTCTCCTCTCCTTCATTGTAGTTAATACCTCTAGAAAGCAGTTTCAGTCTAATCGCTCCCACACTGCAAATGTCTCTTTTATTCTGTGTCGCTCTCGGCTGGGTATTTCTCGCTGATTGAGATTCTTGCGACATTCAATTTTGTCAAAACAGGTTTTATTAATTTGCTGATCATCGTGGGGGCGGATCTCATTGAATGTCCGGTGACATTTTTTGCTAATCTTAGCCGAATTTGTCTCTGGTTGGTCTCCGGTTTTAAAAATTGTGTATTATAGTTTTTGTTTGTGTTTCATGAATTTTGTGCTGTAGGACATTTTAATGTGTGCTCTGTATTCCCCCAACAAACTCCTTCTCTTCCTTTTTTTCTTCATAATCTACCCATCATTCCATTTTTTTTACACCTTTTTTGTTTCTGCATTTGTAAAGGCCGGATTCGGAAAATTTATAAACAAAATTTTAAATATCATTTTCTATGCCGGATACTATCTCCTAAAATATTGTATTAATTAGATTTTTAGGTCTTTTAGAAACAATTTTTTTTGCATTTATTAAGACTTATATCAATATCATCTTTCGCATCATCTCTAATGCATGTCAATACATATGCAATCTCTTTAATAACCACTGTGTGATCCTACAATGAATACATAAAATTATATAGTGTATTCAGCTGTATATGTAAATAATACATAAATAATAAAATAACATTAATACATAAGTGTTTGAAATGTTGAAGGATTTTTGCTGCATTTTCGTGATCACATGAACCAATTCGTGAATAGAATGCGATTGTAGCGGAAATAAAAGAAGACCGCCCGGAGCAGCCTGAAACAGCGGAAACAGAAAGTCCTCAACGCACAAGAGAAGAGCACGGAAGACATCAGGAAGGAGGATGACGCTGCGGCGAAATCCTTGAGAAAATCTTCACGCCACGCCATATCTTCTCCATGATATATAATATAAACATATTTAGTATGTATATAGAGTAAACCTTTTCCTTTGGGTGTTATAAGAAGCGATTAAGGGAGCTTAATGCTAGGCAGCAACGTCCCTTTTGAAACATCTCTAAAAGCCGAACTGTGATTGCTAACCCACCTGCCAAGCTTGACAACTACTGGCAAAGCTCCCTTATAAGGAAGGCTTATGTTTAGAAATTCAATGAATATGGAGCAAAGTGTGATTCCTATGATGAGTTATTGACGTCATTATTCATATACCTCCGACAAATCACTCTCAAAAATTTCGAACGAGAAAATGAACCGAATCTCAATATTTGGGGAAATATCAGGCCAATTCCACTTACTAACTTATTACCGTGAGTGGTAATATTGAATTTGGGCCAAGCAGTAGAAATAGATTATTTCTCCCTTCAATATCTCTACTGTTACTTTTGTTATTTTGTTTAGGAATAAGTCCCAGCGAATGAGCGACACACATTCCCAATGTTTTTTTGTGTTCTGTGAGAATTGGCTGATATATTGTGCGATCACTGTCAGTAGTAATGTACTCAAGTAAGCACTGAACACATGCAATTTATGAACATTTGTGTTCTTGAGATTTAATAGTTTTGCCAAGTTTCTGTTGTATCGCCAGTTTTTTGCGATGGAGAAGGAAATGATGTGGTGCCTTGTGCCTTCGTGCTTAGCGATGACTTTCTAATTGTTAGCATTTGAGAAGGTGCGCTTCGCTATATCAGAAACAGCAAAGCCGACTATTGTTACGACATCTTTTGGAACGCGGAAGAAAGGGCCCCTCAAATTATGCGATTTCGTGGCAAATTGTCTAACAACATCCATACTGCTTCGTATTATTATTGCCAACTCGATGATGATCTTTACTTCCTCAAATCTGGGCGTCGTTGCATGAGTATTTCTACGAGGTAACACCGACTCGTTAGGTCCGAAATCTCTTCTATAGCCCGCAATTTGAAATCTTCCGGGCCCCATAATACAAGCCAAGACGAATACTGCTTCTCGGTAGATAATGCGGTACCTCCAACACATCTTTAGGGCTAAGGTCCGTTGAGCTTTAAGCATTACCGCTTTTTTCTTGTATCTTTTGGATCCATACCATATACGGTCGCCGTATATGACCATCAACTGCATTACTCCCATATATAGGCGCTGGACGCTTCTATTTGCCCTATCATGATTCGGGCGAAGACAAGTCAGAACCCGCACTATTCCTAATAGCCTAGAAGATAGGCTCTCAAAGTATTGTGAAAAGTCCCATTGGCCATCATGTGGATGACTACTCCTCCAACCACAATGCCAGAACTGGCAGGAGGTGCTTTTCAAGGAGTGGCAAAGTATATGGTATATAAAGTATAAGTATGACATATCTCGCCCTACCGCGCTCAGCTTAAGTGACTCCCTATCGGACTGCGTAGAATTACACGCACATTCTGTACTAGGCATTCTATTTTATTCGATCCAAACTCTCTCGACTATCTTAAGTGTAAATTTAAATTTCAAAGGGACATTACCAATCGTAATCTTCCTCTTTGTAGGAATCTTCTTCACATGTCAGCTCATCCATTGCCTTCATTTCCTATTCTTTCACTGTTCAGGCTATTAAAGAGTGCAACAAACTCCCACTCGACATCAGATCTACTCTAATCAAATTAGCTTTTAAACTTAAATTGCGCTTCTATTTCTTAAAAATGGCCGTTTTATAAACTTCTAAGCAAGTAGCGGAATTACCAGCGATTCTCGTAGATTCTAAACATAGATTATGTAGGTCAAATGATGCAAACAAATTTATTAATTTAAAACTAATAGAATAATTTGATACAAGATCAACGTTAAGGTCACCACATACAAGTTCTTATTTTTCTGCGCATTTCGTGTCTATGCTTTCTTTATAGCCAATTCAAAAGAATTAAAACAAGCCGTCGGCGGACAATATACGCAAATAATTATAGAATCATCTAGTTCTACACATGATACTTCAACCGTTTGTACAATGGAGCTCAATGTCCTTTCGTTTTTTTTTTTAATTGTTATTATTATTTTTTAATAATTATTGAACTTCCATGAATAGTATTAATTCTAGTAAATAACTAGCAATTTTATAGTGTTCAAAAGGACAGCTTAATTCACTTTTTTTAAGCCAATGTTCGGTTAGATATGTCTAACCGAACTTCTTAAAAGACTTAATACTAACTCTTTGCAGGAAAAGCCACGAATATTTTGATGAACAAGAACCATATCCTGTGACTTAACCAAAGATTTTGTAATTCCTTGTTCTTAGGACTTAACCAATGTCTTACATGTCAGTTTAAATTGACATAAGTCACACTCATTTAGTATTATTACTAAAATTATTATAACCCGTTATATTACTTATAATAGGATCGTATATATTATAAACTAGCAAACTAGCTAACAAAAAAAAAGACTTTTGTTTCTTAAGGAAATAACATTCATCTCCAGTCAAATAAAAGTTCGTTACGAATTGGTTGTTATCGAAAAATAAAATATCATTATAATGATATGTCAATTAAATTATTAATATTATGCATAAATTTGTTTTGCTCTTTATTGAGTGAGCGAGAGTAGGGAAACGAACATAGTGTTATTTTGCCTATACCCAGCTCAGCTATATTGTACAAACAGTCTATTATATAATTGCACAATATCCGATTTACGTACGCGAAGACAATTATCTAACGCAATAACTAGAGGAGTATGATAAATAATCATAGTTCTCAATTATAATTTTTCTCATGAAATTGTATAAACTTGATCCCGATAAATAATTATTTATTACTATTTGAGATAGGTTTTCTGATAATATACATCCCAAATCTTTGCCATACTTGTCTGAATAAATAATTGTCCTTCACTGTCTACTATCTACACTATCTACCTCCATCCCCATTATGGGGTCGATATCCATTATATATGGTGGTAAAGATTGTAGTCAGCGTGCGCGACTTCCTTCTTGTTTGTGGTATTGCTAGCACGGCTCTCTGCCCCAAATAAAGCATCGGAGCTAGATCAGTTGGATGGACTCATATGATAAGCCGTCATAAGTATTTCCGGGTCCTCCATCAGAACCCCCGATTTTTCAGAGGATCCACCAGCGTTTGGAATGGTAGTAGTGCAGGGGAGGCCACTCGCGTGAGGTTTGGGCCCGAGCATACCGCTGCAAGGCGAGTCCATATCGCAATCAATTAATTACTGACGTTACTACTGTCCATCGCGAGCACCGGAGCTTGGACAAGAGGATTTATATAGAAGTTGTCTCCTCGTATCAATTTGCCTTTCAATTTCTTTTTTTTTTTTAAATAGCCTTACATTCTGGGCTCATGGGTAAATTCTTTCAAACTAGATTAACTAGCTTATGCATTTCTGGATCATACTGGCAAACACCAAATGCCTGCAAATATTAACATTTCACCTTGGTACACATACAAGTTTAAAATCATATATTAGTAATTTTAAACGTAATCTCTATAACCTGATAGATCCTATTTAGTTTATATGTTGGTTCATCACATACGCTATGGTTTGTGATTAGTATGAAGTTTTATTGATGATTCATAAATGTACTGATGAGTTTTTTTTATGATATAGTAAATCGACAAAAATTCTTTTCCGCACTGACTGTAATTAAACTCTGCTTCATCCATAAAGCGTGATTATTATCTTCATAATCCTCACTATCTTTTGTCTTAATGTAATTAATTTTTCTTAATAATAATAATAATTTTATTTGTTATGATTTTGGGTATAAATATTTAGATTCATCTTTTAGATTTTCTGCATGCTACTGTAAAATGATTTGGTGTACCACAATTTAGACAATTTGGGCCAAATGCAAGATTGTCTTGGGCCAAGAATTTACAGCGTATACAATAAAAGCTATCCGATTGCGGTCTTGTTGATTGATTTTAACTCTTTTTTTTTTTCTTTAATTTACTTTATTTATTCGCAGCTGGGTCCTTTAGCCCCAGTAGCTCTCTTTACTTGGTCATTATTTGTTTGGCTTAGTTCACCGGTTCCACAAATATTGTCTGTTTTCTCTAGTGTTAGCATTGTTTTTTTAATAGCTTTGTTTTCTATCCTTATGTTTTTTGCGACATCCTTCTATTCTTATTATTAATATATCTGTATTTTAACTGAGGATTTTTGTTTTATATATAAATTTATATACATCAAATATATATTTATATATATTTTAATCATGGCTGGTTCCACTATTCGTCGTCATTGTCATTCTTATTAGAATTACTGTTTGAATCATGCTCGCTATAAAGTTCAAACTTGTGGCGGCGCCATGTCGTAGTGGGCCGTGTCGTGTGCTCCCTCTAATATGGTTGAGTGCAATGATCCTGCTGGCTGGCTCATCCGTTATATTCGTGAACGGGTGCTGCTTATGGGGGGCTGATCTGTTTGGATTACAGACACTGATTAGACTTGTTAAAGTATAGTTTTTTTTTTCTTTCTTATGGCACGGCACAAAGTGCATCCACCAAAAACAAAGTTTGGGAAACAGCATTTTAGTAAAGGAGTTTTGGACGAAGAAATTTAGGATAAGGATCAGAAAAGTTGAATAATGGATGATATAAGGAAAAGGACAGATACCTAAATAGATATTACAATATATTTAACCTTAAAATATATATATATATATATGTAAAGTGCATAAACTAAAAAGAAAATTTACAACTTAATATTATTGATTACAATAAAAGAGGAAATAAAATTATATACTTCTAAATTATCAAGAAACAATAACACTGGAACTGATGTAGGCAAGGGAATGCGGAGGGAAAGGAGGGAATTGAAAAGAACAGGATGGTCATAGAGAGGACAATTTAGGAGAATGTGATTCAAATCACCCACATCTGTGCCACAATTGTACATATTATTGTTCATAATTTTTAACTTAGCCAAATGAGAAGGGGAACTCACATGGCCAAGTCTCATCCTAATAATAAAAGACGTAGCACGTTTATTAATACTATTAATTATTTTACGATTACCTACAATAACAGACGAAGGAAAAATTTAAATAGGAGATCGTAGAACTATACCACAGATTAAAAACATCATATCTAATTAGAATTCTCCAATAAAAATGATAGTTGCAAAAGTTGGCACTGGTTTTATATCAAAGAATCCTGGGAAAAAACATAATTAGAATACTTGGTACCTTTCCAAAGTAACAAGTGTTGTACCACTATTTATATATGTCTCTATCTAATATATTGTTATCAACAGTTGCCATAAAAAAATCTATTTTACGAATAACATGGACAATAAAATAAGTATCTACGAGTATGTTTAGTTACTTTTGTTTACTCTACTACAATTTTAAATTTAATATAAATAAAAGCATAGAAATTAGCTCCGCTGTTATATGAACAAATAAATAAATTAGTCAATATAAGCAAACTTCAATTATATTTAACAATATTAATTATAATTATTTTATACTCGCCAAATCAAATCTGTTGATTATTGAGCAAAAAACGTCATTTATTCTTTGTATTATATCACACTGAACTGAATTTATTTATATTTTTATTAATTACTACGTAATTTATGTAAATATATAACAGTAATTTGAATATTTAAAAAAATATATTTATAAGCGAATACCGGTTTTCAAAATAGCGCCATTGATTGTCATAAATTCTATTCTAGATTGCCATCATCTATTATGATGGATATTTTTTATGTTTGGCAACATACTTATACTAATAAAACGTCATTAAAACACCGATGTTCCAACTAACGCAGGTCTGCTTATTCCGCAAAGTAGAGTCGATTCTAAGATGCAATTTCTCAATTATTAATACTAAAATTAAAATTTCAATTTAATATCATAGCAAAATCTTTATGGTAAGGACCAATATGAACTTATTTTCTATTAATTTCACTAAAGAATTATTACAAATTTAATTTATTATAGTCAATAAAATAGTAATTTTGCGACACTATCAAATTAAAATAATAAGTTAAGATATAAATTTAAAGAAAAGACACCTCAGAATCGACGCCACAGTCTCTCATATCTGTGCGTAGACAGAGAAAGTAGACGTAGTATCTAAGTATCTGTAGATAGATTTTATTATCATTCTAAAGAGTTCATTATTATTATACAGACAATTTATCATATTGAAGACTAGGCAGCATGGTCTCCGACCTTAGCCTATACTATAACGGAACAAACGTGCTAAAAAAAAAAGAGTTCATTACTCTGTGATCATGCATTTAAACTTATCCTATGGTATTTATATAGCGTTCGGCTTGCCTTTAATTGAATGATATATATTAAATAATTTTTCAATTTTAAATTTAATATTAGCAGTCAGAAATTATTGTATTTGCAATGGATGAAGTGAAATTATATATTAAAAGCATCGTTTGCATAACGTGTTTAAGTAGCGACCGCGATGTTTTTTGTCCAACTTCAGATGAAGCGGCTTTAATTTCAAAGCTCGAGGTAGGTTAATAATTCATTTATTTAAACTTTATTAACTAATAAAATACTGTACAAAAGGCGGACTTAATGCTATAGACCAGGGGGCCGACTTGACTAGACCCAAGCTCTACTATTTACTGACGAAACCCTGTACAATCTACCAATTACATTCTTGAAACAACATAGTTCTGTACACAATTATGTAGTATTGTAGTATTTTTTATTTTATTAAAAGGGAAAACATAAAACTAAAAATTATTCTTAGTAACTACTTATTTATATTAGTGTGACCATTACGTTTGATCATCTTCCGTTAGATTAGTAAAATATATTTTTTGCCTTGCCACGATTGACTGGACAGTCCTAAGGATGTACAGAGTACCTTTAGGATGTGCTCGATGGTGATTTAAAAAAGAAACATATTTCAGTATAAAATGGTAATTACATAAATACAAACATTAGTTAAATAAATATATATAATAAATTTTTATATGTATAAAAGTATACATATATGTATATATAAATTGATTTTTTTATATATATATATATTTTTTTATACAACTTAGAATGGCAAACAAGCTGACGGCCCACCTGATGGAAAGTGGTAACCGTCGCCTATAGATATGAGCAGTACCATGGACATAACAGAGTATACTGTTTCGCCCATGATACCCCCCATGCGTTGCCATTCCTGAGGACTCGGGTGTTATTCCTCTGTACCCAGTAAATTCACGCCATATCCCACCCTTCAAACCGAAACACAGCCATGCAAACACAACTGCTTCACGGTAGAAACACGAATGGGATAGAGGTAACCAAGCAATCGACTTTTGTACAAAGTCTGAAATTATGTAATTGATGTAATTTTGCCTCTTGATTACTTGTTTTTATTAAGTCAACATTTGTTTACTATGAGTGATAATGGAATGGTAACCCATTCAGTGCTACCGCCGGTAGCCTGCCTGCCAGCATATGCCAGTAGCCTACTGGCATATGCTGGCAGGCACCAGTGAGCGATGACAGGTAAAGATGAAAGCAAGTCAGTTGGCACATCATGTTGAATTCAGTAACAATTAACTAAGATGATTTCCAGCTAGAACTGCATGAAGGTCGACCTGATGATTGATATACTCTATATTGCTAACAATGGGGTTTTTTTTTGATGGGTGAAAATGGTATGGTAACCCTGCCTGCGCTAACGGGATACGCTGGTGGAGGATCAGTGAAGGGTGATAGATGAGAATGAAAACAGGCCAGTTAGCCCATCATGATGAATTCATCAGGAATTAACAATGATAGTTTCCAGGGGGAACCGTGAGGTGGTCAACCTGGTTGGGTATATTGCTAGCAATGGGATTCTCAGTCTCTATTGCTAACAATCCTTTTCGACCCACCAAGTAGCTTTGCTTTGCATTGCCATTTTATTTTGAAACTTGGGATATAATAGTGAAATTACAGGAGACTCAGAGGGGGGTGAGGGGATGGATTGTTAGTAATGTAGGCTACCTGTCACATTGCTAGTTTTTTTTTATGTGTGAAAATGGCATGGTTACCCCGCCTGGGCTATCGGTATACACTAGCGGGGTACCAGTGAGCGGTGATAGGTGAGGATGAAAAGGCAGGTCAGTTAGCCCATTGTGACGAATTCAATGATAAATTGGTCACAATAGTTTCCAGGGGAAACCGCATGGAGGTCGACCTGATATTGATAGCAATGGGGACTAAACTCCCCATTACTAACAATCTCTTCCCCCCGTCACATTGCTAGTAATATACCCTATTAGGTTGACCATCGCGTGGTGTCCCCTGAAAACCATCGTGTTGAATCTCAGACATATTGGTATTTCATGATGGACTATCTTGGAAAAAAGACTCTATATAATTTTTATTATAATAGTTTTTCTGTTGTTTTTTTTTATGCAGGTTAACATGGAAGAGGACAGAATATGTTGGGAATGTAGAGCCATATTGCACAAGTTTTTAAAATTCGAACAACGAGCTGTGAAGGCGCAGACAATAATGCAGAAAGTTTTAAACGGTAAAATGGTAAGTTTTGTCGCCGACCGGAGATTTTATTTTTTTAACTTTCATAGAGAATCCTTAGATTATATAGCATGGAGCCTCAAAAAGGGGTCAACTATTTGTCAGCTAATTGTCAAATTAGCTAATTTGTTTTTTTCATCAGTGTTTATTTTTTTTTTTATACAACTTAGAATGGCTAACAAGCTGATGGCCCACCTGATGGAAAGTGGTAACCGTCGCCTATAGACATGAGCAGTACCATGGACACAACAGTACACACACATACTGTTTCGCCCATGATACCCCCCATGCGTTGCCATTCCTGAGGACTCAGGTGTTATTCCTCTGTACCCTGTAAATTCACGCCATATTCCCACCCTTCAAACCGAAACACAGCCATGCAAACACAACTGCTTCACGGTAGAAACACGAATGGGACAGAGGTACCCAAGTAATCGACTTTTGTACAAAGTCTCCCTCTGGTGTTCTATATACTTACGCACATAATGTATCCTGACGTATCTATATTTAATATTATATCCTATCCCTTTATAATGGACTATTTAATTACATATAATAATGTTTTAATAAAAAAATAATAATGATTAGTCATATTCATGATTCCTAACCGACCCAAAGGTCGTCCACGGTGGGAGAAGCTCACGTATCTAATAGCGGAAGCTCTCCCTTCCGTCGACATCAGCGCAAACACATAGATAAGAAATTAGCGATCATCACCGCTTATGTTAGCATATCATACCACTGCGAACCAATGAAAATAGGAAAAAAAAAAAAAAACCGATCCAAAGGTCCCCATGACATTTGCGGCATTTCCGCGTTAAATTGCCAGAGATATCCTTTGAGTCAGATATTTATTAATTTAATTAATGAATAAATAAATTTTTACCCCTTAACAAGATGCAAAAATTATAAAATAAAATATATGTATGTAATGTAATGTAAATGGGACTCTATTTTCCACGCTCAGCCTCTCATTTGAGCCATTGTGCGTAAATATATGTATGAAAAAGTTGACCCTTTTCTTTTCCCGAAGCATTTGTATGGACACGCTATATCTATACAATCTTAGAGGAAAACATACATTACCTGTAACACATAAATCATGGTATTTTAAATGTTTGAATGAAATAATTAAATTAATTAAAAAACACACTCTACGTGACCAATATATCATCATCATCATCATCATCATATCAGCCTCGAACCTTCCACAGCTGAACATAAGCCTCCCTCTTGGAGGGTTTTGTCAGAAGTTACCACGCTTGGTTGGCGGATTGGCAACCGCAGTTAGGCTTTGGACATGTTTTAAGAGGGATGTTGCTAGACATCCCTCGCACTCCCTTAGTCGCCTCTTACGAGACCCACGGGAAAGGAAGGGGTGGTTTATTCTATGCCAGGACCACATGGCAATTATACAGTAATGTAGTATTGTTTTTTTTTAGAATTTTTTTTATACAACTTAGAATGGCAAACAAGTTGACGGCCCACCTGATGGAAAGTAGTAACCGTCGCCTATAGACATGATCAGTACCATGGTCATAACAGGGTTTACTGTTTCGTCCATGATACCCCCCATACGTTGCCATTCCTGAGGACTCAGGTGTTATTCCTCTGTACCCTGTAAATTCACGCCATATCCCTTCAAACCGAAACACAGCCGTGCGAACACAACTGCTTCACGGTTGCAACACGAAATGGACAGAGGTACCCAAGTAATCGACTTTTGTACAAAGTTTCCCTCTGGTATTAAAATAGTTTTTTTTTTTTATATATATATATAGAATGTAATAGACAGTTTGTCCACTTTAAAATGGGAAGTGAAAGTGGATGGTAAAAGAAAGCATTATATTGAAAACGAATCCAGCAGAATACTAATCAAAGATGATCAGAGTACAGAACCTAAGGGTGATATAAAAACAGAGGTTGACAACAACAACGAGTTCAGTGATATGGAGGAAGAAGAAAATGAAGATATCGCCAAGGTGATGGTGAAACTAGAGAACGATAAGCAGATTGGACAGTACGAGATGTATGATTACGATGCGGGAAACGATAAGGGTGATGGTAGTAGAGATGAAGCAGTGATCGGTGATCAGGAGAACGAAACTCATATTGAGGCGGGCAATTCTGCAAATGAGGTTGCCAGCAATGAAATATACGAAAAAGCTGAACTAGTACAAGTTTTCCCGGACAATTTTGACATCGATGATGATACCACACATAAATTGATTGATACAATGCTTGAAACGTTCCTGCAGGGTACAGTAAAGAAGAAGACTAAGAAGTCTGCCAGTTTATTCGGTTGCAGCAAGTGTGACGTGAAATACTTGTAAGTAAATAAAAAAAATATTCCTGTTTCTACCGTGAAGCAGTTGTGTTTGCATGGCTGTGTTTCGGTTTTTTTTTTAATGGGTGAAAATGGAATGGTATCCCCACCTGCACTATCGGTATACTCGTACACCGGCGGGGCACCAGTGAAGGATGATAGGTGAGGATGAAAGCAGGTCAGTTAGCCCATCGTAATGAATTCAACAAGAGTTAGCCACGATGGTTTCTAGAGGGAACCGCGTGAAGGTCGACCTTATAGGGTGGGTATATTGCTAGCAATGAGGCTGTCAAACCCCATTACTAACAATCCCTTTCTCCTACTGTGTTTCGGTTTGAAGGATGGGATATGGCAGTGAATTTACTCGATACAGAGGATTAACACCTGAGTCCTCAGGAATGGCAACGCATGGGGGGTATCATGGACGAAACAGTATACTCTGTTATGTCCATGGTACTGCTCATATCTATAGGCGACGGTTTCCACTTTCTATCAGGTGGGCCGTCAGCTTGTTTGCCATTCTAATTTGCATAAAAAAAAATTCAAATAAACTTAAATAATAAGTAATTTAGAATTAACATTTTTTAATGAATCTACCGCCCAATTCGGAATGAAATTTCTGTTGAGGAGAACGGACGGATTGTTAGAGGACTACCGGTCTTATTGCTAGCAATATACCCTGTCAGGTCGACCTCTACGTCGTCCCCCTGGAAACCATCGTGCTGAATTTCAGGTGTATTCACCACGGTTAGCTAACTAACCTGCCTTTTCATTCTCACCCCGCTAGCATATACCGTTAGTGCAGGCGGGGTTACCATTTCATTATCATCCATACAAAAAAAATACTTATTATATTGTAGTAAGTATTTTGTATTATTCTTAATTTCGTGTATAATGTAGTATGTCATATATGTGTAAATATATTTGTTAATTATTTATATTTATTCGTTTATATATGTAATTTTAGTATGTATATATATCAATAATTACTAGTACCGCATTCGAGTATTCTGACACTTGCCTACGGTTGACTGGGAGAGAATGCTTTTAGCATTAAGTCTGCCATGTACACATATGTGTACTAATGAATAAATAAATAAATAATATGATTTGTTTGTAAATCCTTAACATTTTGTTACAGAAATGAAAGCCAACTGGCCCATCATGAGAAAACGGCTCATAAAGGATCTTTTAAATGCAAATTCTGTGGGAAAATATTCTCAAAGAGCTACAACTTGAAAGTGCATGAACAGTATGTATTTTTTTTTCTTTCAGAGTTGCCATACAATGAATATATCTCTTGCCAGTATTGAAAAACTGTATTTAAATATTTACGATTGAGAATTATATTCGTGTAATCTCTTTTTATAAACTTTTTTTTATTTAAAAGCCGTTATCAGTCCACTGCTGGACATAGGCTTTCCCATAGACTGCCATAAAGAGTGTTTCTGAGCCATCTGCATCCACTGATTTCCTGCAATGCATTTGAGGTCGTCACTCTATCTAGTGGGGGTCATCCTACAGGGTGTTTGGTCATATGGGCTCGCCTTTCAAGAAACTTTCTTCCCTGTCGGTTATCGATTCTTCGAGCTATATGACCAGCCCACTGCCACATCAGCTGGGTGCTGAACATAAACTGTCATAAAGAACAGCCCTGACTTCTTTTTATCTTACATCCACTGACCCCCTGCAATGGGTTTGAGGTCGTCACACCATCAAGTGAGGGGGGGGGGTCGTCCTACACTGTGTTTGTCCGTACAGGGTCACCACTCAAGAACCGTTCTCAACCGTCGGTTGTCGGATATATTTGTAACATATCAAGTCCATCAATGCCTAGTTGTGGCCAAGGCTTGTATAGTACTTTTCTCAAACAATGCGCGGAAATCAAAAACACAATTTTACTTTTTAAGTTCAATGACATATAACGAATAATAATAATTTTTCACGCGCCATAATGTTTCTTTGTTTTTTTTTTCAATAAACAGCTTTCTATTTGTAAGCCAGTTCGAAATTTAAATAAAACCTTTTATTAGTTACCTCCTTGGTAGCCATGTTTGGAAGTAAAAGGTCATTCCATTTTTAAATTACAGGACAGACATGAGTTTACACAGTAATTTATCTGGCCGCAAAACACGACAGATATGGATTTTCATACAACTTTTGCCGGCTGCTGCCCGCATGTATCAGGCCAGTACGGCAATTTTGATTTATCTCGAAGAAGATTGTCAAAATGCTCACATTTCCAAGCATGTTTGTGAAAACAATTGGAATGATAACGATGTTTGTGTGTTTCAGAATTCACGCGAATTCTGCCCGGCAAACGTACAGTTGCAATATATGCGGCGACACGTACTTGGACAGTAAGAGCGTTCACCAGCATCTGAAGGATGCACATGATTACAAATTTCCAATAATACATACGAGGCAGCGTAGCAGCGGCTCTCTACGCGATGTGAGTAAACTTTAGAGTTCAAAAACTAGCAGTGAGACTAGCTTTTTTTATGCAACTTAGAATAGCAAACAAGCTGACGGCCCACCTGATGGAAAGTGGTAACTGTTGCCTATAGACATGAGCAGTACCGTGGACTTAACAGAGTATACTGTTTCACCCATGAAATCCCATATTTTTAAATATTGTTTTTATAAATAAATATATAATACGGGAGACTTTGAACATAAGTTGTTTGCTTGGACACTTCTGTCCCATTCGTGTTTCTACTGTGAAACAGTTATGTTTGCATGGCTGTGTTTTGGTTATTTTTTTTTTTTATACAACTTAAAATGGCAAACAAGCTGACGGCCCACCTGATGGTAAGTGGTAACCGTCGCCTATAGACATGAGCAGTACCATGGACATAACAGAGTATACTGTTTCGCCCATGATACCCCCCATGCGTTGCCATTCCTGAGGACTCAGATGTTATTCCTCTGTACCCAGTAAATTCACTCCATATCCCACCCTTCAAACCGAAACACAGCCATGCTAACACAACTGCTTCACGGTTGAAACACGAATGGGACAGAGGTACCCAAGCAATCGACTTTTGTACAAAGTCTCCCTCTGGTACTTATTATTTCTATTTCATTTAAGATATCTTTTACATTCCCCGTGCCTTTCTATTCCTGAGGATTCAGGAATAGCAACGCATGGGGAATATCGTGGGCGAAACAGTATACTCTGTTATGTCCATAGTACTGCTCATGTCTATAGGCGACGGTTACCACTTTCAATCAGGTGGGCCGTCAGCTTGTTTGCCATTCTAACTTGCATAAAAGACATCAACATGTTAAATACACTAATTTTTGAAATCGCCTGACTCTTTTTTTTTTTTTTGTTTCAGCCCGATGACTTGTTAGTCTTTAAGAAGTGCAGCATATGTGATAAATTATTCAAATCCAAGTCTGCTTACTATATGCACCAGAAGGAACATAGCAATGAATTTTAGTACAATTTTATCTCTTAACGTCTCAGATAAAGTGTGGCCTCCTTACTAAATCAGGTGTCCATGAGTTGCATCGACTAATTTATTTGCCACTTGTCTAGAGGGTATATTTTTTTTAATGGATGATAATGGAATGGTACCTCGCCTTCCCTATCGGTATACACTGGCGGGGCACCAATGAGGGTTGATTGATGAGAATGAATGGACAGGTCAGTTAGTCCATTATGGCGAATTTAACGATAAATCAATGACAATGGTTTCCAGGGGGAACCGCGTGGAGGTCGACCTGATAGGGTATATTGATCAATCCCCCCCCCCCCCCCAGAGAGCCTATATTAACTACATGAACCAGCATATAAAATATACTATGTGCTAAGATAGGATATAAACTACTCGTGTACAAAATTTCATTCAAAACTGTTCAGTATTTTGATTACATATGTGAATGTGAAAAAGACTCTATTTTCCGCGTTAAGCCTCTCATTTGGGCCGTTGTGCGTATGAGTCGTGGCTAGTACAGCCAACCCAGCTCTGCCCAGAAGCACAGAAGCTTCCTGGGTTCTTCACAGGCCTCACGGAGCGACCTCACCGTTCCGAGGATTTCTAAACGTTGATGGGCCACAGCCTCACATTCCAGGATTACGTGAGCATCCGTTTCTTCGGCGTCGAAACAGCCTCGACATAGAGGGCTGTCTGTGGCTCCTATTGTGTATAAATGTTTGTTTAAACGACAATGGCCCGTTATTGTCCCTATCATTATTTTGAGGTTTTTTCTATTTTTTTTTTTATTCATTGATTACATAACAAACATACAAACTTTCAAATTTATAACATTAGGAAGAAGTAGGATTTGCTATTTTGTTTAAATTTTTTTTTTAATTTTTATATAAATGTGCAAATTTTTTTAAATATGTTTAAATATTTTTTTTTTTTTTTTTTTTTTATAGAACTTAGAATGGCAAACAAGCTGACGGCCCACCTGATGGAAAGTGGTAACCGTCGCCTATAGACATGAGCAGTACCATGGACATAACAGAGTATACTGTTTCGCCCATGATACCCCCCATGCGTTGCCATTCCTGAGGACTCAGGTGTTATTCCTCTGTACCCAGTAAATTCACGCCATATCCCACCCTTCAAACCGAAACACAGCCATGCAAACACAACTGCTTCACGGTTGAAACACGAATGGGACAGAGGTACCCAAGCAATCGACTTTTGTACAAAGTCTCCCTCTGGTAAAAGCAAATTACTTAAGCAAAGTTAAACAGTTAAGCGATTTGACTGAAATTGGGTACACAAGTAGGTTTTGTGAAGTTACCATTAGTATATATGGTAACTTTACAATTTTTTTTTTATAATAATAATAATATACTTTATTACTCAGACTACAGTTTGGTCCATTTTGTTAGTAACAGTTTTCTTAAAAACTATGTTAGTAAAAAAGGAAAGCAAATTAATTAAAGCAGTTCACTCTGTTGTGAGCCAGCCGACTAGAACAGCATCTGAATGAAATGTCCAATTATAGGCGAGTTATATTTCCCGCCTATTACTTTTAGAATGCTGTTGGTGCTTGTCCTAACCCTGTGTAGCAGGGGGGAAAGGGATTGTTAGTAATGGAGATTGAGAATCCCATTGCTAGCAATATACCCAATCAGGTCGACCTCCTCGCGGTTCCCCCCGGATACTATCATGGTTAACTCCTGATGAATTCATCATGACGAGCTAACTGGCCTGTTTTCATTCTCATCTATCACCCCTCACTGGTGCTCCGCCAGCGTATCCCGTTAGCGCAGGCGGGGTTGCCATACCATTTACATCCAATAAAAAAAAACCCTGTGTAGCAATGATGCAGTTCTTTTTCTTTTTATATATACTTAAATGTATTAGGTATTAATTATAATGAATAGTTTAATAAATAAATGTATTTAAGATCCATGGTGGAGAGATGGACAGCACAGTTTAAAATATATACGTAAAGGTACAAAAGGTTACTGGAAGCTCTGCCAGTAGTTGGTGCTTTGCGGATGGTTTGGCAACCGCAGTTAGGGTTTGATGTTTTAAGAGGGACGCTGCTGTCTATCTCTCGACCATGAAGTCCATTAGTCGCCTCTAACGACATCCTGACTTACGGGAAAGGAAGGGGTGGTCCATTCTATGCCGGGACCACACAGCTATAAATGTAATTAGTATTAGTTTTTTAATAAATAAAGTTATGTTTACATAAAAAGTATTTTTACCATAGGGGGACTTTGTATAAGAATGGTATGCTTGGGTACCTCTGTCCCACTCGTGTTTCGTCTATGAAATATCTGCTTAATAGCTGTTTTAGTTTGAAAGGTGATATAGCAGTGAATGTATAGGGTACAGAGGTACAACACTAGTCTTGGGGAGAAATTGTTAACCTTTTTACACAGAGGGAGACTTTGTACAAAAGTCGTTTGCTTGGGTACTTCTGTCCCATTCGTGTTCCTACCGTAAAGCAGTTGTGTTTGCATAGCTGTGTCTCAATTTGAAGGGTGGGATGTAACAGCGAGTTTACAGGGTGCAGAGGTATAACACCTTATTTCTCAGGAAGGGCAACGCATGGGGGGTATCATGAGCGAAACAGTATACTCTATTATGTCCATGATACTGCTCATGTCTATAGGCGACGGTTACCACTTTCTATCAGGTGGGCCATCAGCTTGTTTGCCATTCTATGTTGCATAAAAAAAAAACACTAGTGGTCGCTCCTTTCCATAAAATGCGCGTGATCGCGTGGAGAGCATTTTAAAATAGAATAAAATAGCAAATAATAGATAAATCAGTTTTTTTAGGGCATAAAATAAATAATAAATATATTATATAAATAATTATATATATTCATTCTTCATTGCACTTGTAAATTACATAGTTAATGCATTTATAAATGTGTGTGAGCAAAGGTGGATTTATCTTTGACAGAGAATTCTTCCAGTCGACCCGATACAGAAACTATTAGAAAAATTAACATTTATTATATTCTTACCTTTAATAGTAGCACATAAAAGCCTTTAAAAATCTTAGGTGAAAATGTTTAAATCACTAATTATATTGTACGTATATCGTCTCTACCTGAACGGATATTTCGATGTACACATTTTTTTTTTTACAACACGGGGCAAACGAGCATGCGGCTCACCTGATGGTAAGTGACTACCGCCGCCCATGATCACCCACAACACTTACGGCATTGCGGGTGTGCTGCCGGCCTTTTAAAAAGGAATATGCTCTTTTCTTGAAGGTTATGTTGTCGTATCGGTTCACATCGTATCACATGACACATATCTAGAGATTTAGTTCCTCAAATGTTTTTGGAAGGTTTTGGATCTTCTGATTACATAATATAATATACTTTATTACTCAGTCAACAGTTTGGTCCATTTTGTTAGTAACAGTTTTCTTACAAACTATGTTAGTAAAAATGAAAAGCAAATTAATTAAAGCAGTTCACTCTGTTGTGAGCCAGCCGACTAGAACAGCATCTGAATGAAATGCCCAATTAGAGGCGAGTTATATTTCTCGCCTATAACTTTTAGAATTAAATATATGATGTCTGGTCACTCGGGATTGGGAAAAGTAATTACATTAGACGCCTATGCGTAATTTTAACCACGGAATATTTATATTTATTGTGACTGATGACTTGTAACACAGGTTCTTCTAAACCAATCTTCGTTCTCCTGAACCGCAAGCACCAGTCTCTCACAAAATTGGTCTTCATATCAAATTGTACCTCAAGTTGTCACTTTATTCTACCTTTTGTGAAGAGAAAATAAACCATTCATTCGTACATTCATTTCTTTTTGGTCCACAGCGTCAACTTCCCGTTTAGTCCTATTGTAAAATGTTACTATTTATGGTTTCTCAGCAGCACTGGTCGTTTCCTCGATCTTATTGTCATTGTGTAAAGTGGATAACAGTAAAACGACTGTTTTTGCTTTTTATCAGGCACATAGCATATTAGAACCTTATTCTCACCAAATCTTCTTGTATGACCTGTCACTGCAGGTATGATTGTGTTCAGTGTAGTATATTGGAAATTATTGTTCCTAAGGTTGGCAACATTGAAAAATGTAATTAAGCAAGTGTCATGGCGTCCTTCAATAAAAGCGTGCATTCATTTCATAAGCAGTTTTTTTTTATTATTATAAACGCAAGTTATTTAAGCATGCAAAGTACATCAAATGTTTTACAACATTATATTCAGCTTAACAACAAATTATGTTACAGAGTTTCTCGTAAGGTACACTGTCGTAATCTTCATCAATTGTTTGCTACCTGGCACTGTCGCACAAACGCGGGCAAACGCTCGCCCATTAATCGCATTGTTACCGCTTATAACTCAAATTTCAACTCCGTTGATATTATTTCGGAAAGTGTTGGTGCATTCGGGAGACTTATCGGTGGTCTGCTTGAGGTGGAGGAATGATATTTTGTTGTTGTATTTACTTATTTATTGCTGGTAAATAAATTTAATTGTTTAAAATATATAACATCAATTTGGAAGTTCTTTGATTTTGATTGGATCACTGGTACGCACCTCTTTATATTTCTGTCATTCATGTATGTGTATATGTTTAGTTTTGTACAAGTAGTTGCACACAATCATTTTGCATGTTTTGTTTTATAGTAATAGGTGGCCAACGTCGTTGGTGACACTAAAATTATTGATATTTAGATACATATGTATATATATTGTTATTGTGTTTACTGTTTGTTGACCTAAATAAATAAATAAAAAAAAAATCTGAACATTGTACTAGGTTTTTGTTTATGGATGTCGTATTATCTGTGGTAACTTTTGTCTATGATTGGATAACGTTCTACAAGAAAGAGTTGTTGATTGTACACGAAGATAAAACTATATAGATAAAGAAAAGAAAGATAAACTAAAAGGCCGGCAGCACACCTGCAATACCGTTAATATTGTGGGTGATCATGGGCGGTCGCTTACCATTAGGTGAGCCGCATGCTCGTTTGCCCCCTTGTTGTAAAAAAAAAAAAATTAATGAAGTTGCAGAAGTTTTATTAAGTTTAATATTGAAAGTCAAGAAGTACACCTAAACAGTTTGACTCTGTTTTTTTGTAGCTGAAAAGCAAGCTGGGATTTCTTATTTGTTTTTTTTCCGCTAAGTGCCCATTATAGTTTTTTTGAAAATTGTTTCCTTATTGTTATTGTATCTGGCCAACGCTTCTTTTCCTTGTTGTTACCTCTCGTTTGTTGTTTTTTTTTTTGTTAGATAACGAAATTCAATCAATCAAGGTTGTCTCTTGCCCGCCAGATGTTGCGCGGGCGGGCGAGGTAGGGGCCTCGGGGTATACCCCTTTGCCCCGGCTTCAACTCCGGAGGCGACGACCTCCGGGTCGCTGGGTTGTTCAGCCGGCATACACTGGTGGTCTGTGTATGCCGGCGTGGTGTCTTCTTTCTTGAGGGCCTCTTCTCTGCTCTTGTATATAATATATGTATATATATATATATATATATATATATATATATATACATAAATATAATATCAAGAGCGAAGAAGAGGCCCCAGAAGAAAGAAGACATCACGCCGGCATACACAGACCACCAGTGTATGCCGGCTGAAGAACCCAGCGACCCGGAGGTCGTTGCCTCCGGAGTTGAAGCCGGGGTAGAGGGGTATACCCCGAGGCCCCTACCTCGCTCGCCCACACAACATAGGGCGGGTAAAGAGATGACCATGATTGATTGATTGATTGAGTATCGATGTTATGCTGTGCAGGTAGTGATGAACGTTGTTAGTCAGGCACTTTAGCAACAGTAGAAGTTAATGTGTTGTTCAGGTAGTAATGAACTTGGTTGATGATGTACTTCAGCAATAATCGAAATTTAATGCCCACAATTTCTTGTGTTTTTGCT